TCGGGTTAATTTTCGAATAATTAGCAACTTTAACTTCATAGTCTCGTTTAGTCTTTTTCTTCTCTTTTTTAACCTTCCTCTTAATGTCAAAATATTGATTTATGAGATGGATCTCACCTCTTAATACGCTTATAAATTCCTTCCTTCTCTCCTAAATGATGTTTGAGTTTCTTTTTCATCCATTTTGGATAATTTCTGTTTTAGCTTATTTCTTTGTAGGGAATAAAAGTTCTCTGGTCAGCGTGTGTAGTGTTTACAAAACTGTCATATTGATAGTTAATAATATATCTTTATTTCTACAGGTACAAGGTATACAGACCATAGCTGACATCAATGACATACTACTATATAGAAAACCGCTTGTTATGCTGAGCATTTCTGGCAAATTAGGTCAGTTTTGTCCCAGGATACGACCCACACCAGTCCACTAACACCCAGGTACCCATTATTACTGATGGGTGAACATGGACAACCGGTGTAAGGAAACACGCCCAACGCTTCTACCCTCGCCGGGAATCGAGCCCAGAACCTCACCGTGTGAAGTGAGAACTTTTGCCACCAGGCCACGGGCCACAGATGATTAGTGTTCTCTAAGCCAATTGTAATTTGATAAACGAAAACCTGGGATCTTTACTGAATTATATTTCCTATCATACTTCGATTCAATGACTCACGAAATCGTAATGACACGATTGCGGGTTCTATCCCCGCCCGTGGTATATCTGGAGAGATCTGGAGTTTATCTGGAGAGAGTTCCGGGGGTCAACGCCCCCGCGGCCCGGTCTGTGACCAGGCCTCCTTAGGTCAGTGTCCCAGGATGCGACTCACACCAGTCGACTAACACCCAGGTGCCCATTTTACTGATGGGGAACATAGACAACAGGTGGAAAGAAACACGTCCAATGTTTCTACTCTGGCTGGGAATCGAACCCAGGCCCTCGCCGTGTGAAGCGAGAGCGTTAACCACCAGGCCACCAGAGCCTGTATGGTTCGATTCAATGTTAAATGTAATCGATCTGTGGTCGCTCGTGCCAGTTACTATTATAGTCAAAATTAAGCGCTAAACCGTCGCTCGTGCCAAGTTCTTCTATGATTTCCAGAGTATTAACAATGTGTGCCCTTCTTTGCCAGAACTAAATCAAGCAAGTTATTCTCGTTCGTGTTGCCACAAACTGCTTTAAAAACATTCTTAAATTACCTCTAGGAAGTCGTTTGACTCTTAAGAAGCCCAGTCAAGGAATTCTAACCAATCTGACTCAAGTTAAAGTCACCTAGAATTTCTACGTTATCGTGCCTTGTAGCCTTAATAGTTTAATTTCTTGGACCCTATCTAAGTTTGGAGGACGGTATGTCACGTCTAAAATATATTTTTCATGTCCCTACAAAAAAATCTACCCAGTGTGCTCTTTCAGTCTTTATACATGTTTTTATGCAGCAATTTATGAGTTCTCTGACATTGTGCCACTCCACCTTCCTCCCCGTTATTTCTATCAAAATGGAACAACTTAAAATTCTAAATGTGATATTCATCAGGCATGACCCGATTCTTCATATTAAACCACGTCTCAGTTACGGGCAATACGTCATGTTACCCACACTTGCAACGAATCTCAACTCGTCCATTTTGTTTCTAGCGCTACGACTTTTTATATAATATGAATTAAGAAACCCTCTCTTCTCTTTCCTCTTTGTCCCTCCTCCACTATCTCTACTGTTGTCCTTATCACCTAGTGTCACTGGTTTTCCAATATTCACCCATAACTACCTCTTCATCCTACGACAGTATCCCCAAAACTCACACTTCCCACTTTTATTATATCATATTTCATTACCTTCCTACAATATCCCATACCTCTAACCGTTCTAGATTTAAGGCCTAACATCTCCCTCCACTGAGTTAGCGAATGCCCTCATCCCAGCCCTTGATAAAATGAACTCCCATCCCTGGCAAACATGTGGTCCCATTTGTCGATGAATGGTACTGCAATGTTCTTTTTGGTCTTTGTCCACCCAGCTATTAATACCAATTGCTCTGGACAACCATTCATTTCCAACCCCCCTTCCAGGTAAAATGCCAGCTCAAAACTACGTCTTAAGATAAGATTTTGTTCGGATTTTTAACCCCGGAGGGTTAGCCACCCAGGATAACCCAAGAAAGTCAGTGCGTCATCGAGGACTGTCTAACTTATTTCCATTGGGGTCCTTAATCTTGTCCCCCAGGATGCGACCCACACCAGTCGACTAACACCCAGGTACCTATTTGCTGCTAGGTGAACAGGACAACAGGTGTAAGGAAACGTGTTGAAATGTTTCCACCCGTCGGGAATCGAACCCGGGCCCTCCGTGTGTGAAGCGGGAGCTTTAGCCACCAGGCCACCGGGCCACCGGTGAGGGTGATGGACTGATCATCGTCTTAAACTACTGCTTCTGCTGCCTACTCTGTATTCGACTGAAGAAGACTACTGTGTAGGCGAAACGTTTCAGAATAAAGATGCCTAACTGTTCCATACGTATTTTAATTGTCAAGTATTAACTGGTTGACAAGTGAGCTAGTCACTGTGTTCCACTCGTGTATAAGAACATAGGGAGGAACACTGCAGCATGTCTTATTACGTAACTTTCACTCTACACTTCACTCACAATAGACAATCTTCACTTTTTTCTTTGACGTATCTTATTGTTACAGATCTCCTGCCTTATACAATACAAATATTTCCTTAAATTCTCGTACACCCACCTAGCGGATCTGCTGACTGGATCTGCAGATTAAACTCACGGCTAGCGAGTCGTGGTTTGCAATCGTGTCATTACGATTTCGTGAGTAATTATGGCTTAGTGTGAAGAATAACACTGTCAACTATAATGGTTTAGTATGTAAAATAACACTATTAACTATGATGGTTTAGTGTGCAGGGTTTAGCATGAAAGGGAAAGCTCTGACTTTTTTGGGTTATCCGAGGTTCTCTATACATATACAATACTTTATTTGGACATGATACATAGTTGTACAAGGAATTATAGTTGGGTGTTAATGTTGAAAGTCCCTTGTATGCAGAGCATTATGGGCAGCTTAAAATTAACTTAAGATTAACTAAGCAATGATATATTCAGTGGTAAAAATTACAGTAAACAAATTACAACATGAAGTACAAATGAGTATTTTAAGCAATGAAATTTGAACATTTCAATTAAGAGGCATTATAATTGTACAAATTTGTAGCATAACAACGTATAATATAACAAAATGATCAATATACTATATCAATATACTATTTGAAGTGCAGAAACAGGTCACGTGGTCATTAGATAAGTTACTGCGCATTCAAGAGAATGGAGTATTCTACTAGATAATGTAATTAAAAAAACAGTTTGATAGGGTCACAGGTTACACTTTTATGAAATACAGTTATTCAATATTTATTCAGTTGTGGTTGAGTAAGTGGTTTTTAAGAAGAGTCTTGAATTGATAAACAGTGTTTCTTTTGTATTCACAGGTAATGAATTCCAGATTTTTGGGCCTTTTATGTGCATTGAGTTTTTACATAGTGTGAGATGGACACGAGGAACATCAAAGAGTGATCTGTGCCTTGTGTTATGGTCATGTGTTCTGCTGAGGTTGGTAAGAAGTTTGAGGGGAGGGTTTATATCTGAGTTTAGTGTTCTATGTATGTAGTAGGCACAATAATAAATATGGATGTTTTGTACAGTGAGTAAGTTTAAACCTTTGAATATTGGTTGAGTATGCTGCCTGGAGGGGGAATTTATTATTCTGACTGCAGTCTTTTGTTGGGTAATTAATGGCCTGAGATGATTTATTGTTGTTGAGCCCCATGCACAGATTCCATAGGTGAGATAGGAGTAAATGAGCGAGTGATATAGGGCCAGGAACATAGTACCGTATCTTCGATAGTATGCCTACGGTCTTGGAGATTTTCTTGGAAATTTGTTGTACAAGTGTTTGAAATTTGAGTCTATTATCAAGGTTGATTCCTAAGAATTTTCCCTCTGAGTTTCGTGACAGGTGATCTGTTTATCATTATATTAAGAGGAACATGTGTAGTTCTGTTCCCATGTTCTGCCATGTATGATATTCTATGTAACTATATTTGTGTATACCTGAATTAACTTACTTGCATACTTAACTGACACCCGAGGCTGAAAGCATGTCCGATTTAGCCGCCCGAGTGAAAAAAAACAAAAACAAGCGAGAACAGAGAGAACGCTTGTGTTATCTAAGGAAGCGAGTCTCAGGGATCCAGTGTGTGGGCACCTTGAATCACCTCAGTGAAGGGATGTTTGGGTTTGATTCTTCTTCTGGAATATTACAACGTTAAACTAAACTCGTATTGCACAAAAATTGAGTATAAAATGAAGACAAGGTTAAAAAAAATCAGAGATGCTGCCGCTGCACTTGTCATTGGTGAGAAGACAGTTATTTGTCAGTGATGTAGAACACCTGCCCTCTGGAGGGACAGGTGTGCCCTACGTATCTTCACCAAAACAGTCACTAGACGCTTGCCTGCCACAGTGTGTGTAGAAGTGCGCTGTGCGGTATGACGTTTTGCGTGTGTACATGTTACAGTGTTCCACACAGCAAGGTGATGACGAGCCTCAAGAAGGGATGTCACCATCGTGTATTTGATCTCACGGGCAAGTGGAGAAAACAGCCAGGAGTGCTGGTATATGTTAACAATCACCATGTGAATTGCTCATTACCTTGCAGTTTGTTCATGATTGTAACCATGTATAGACGTGTAGATGATTCATTACCTTTGTAACTTGTTCAGCTATCAAAACTTTGGACCCATTATGTACTTCTGTATTCTTTTGACTACCGCCCACAGGATGGCTATGGGGCGCATAATAAAAACATTTAAACTAAGACCACAGCCAATATAAATAACTATCCATGTCTGTCTTATGAAAGTAAAGTGAGTCAAAAAACTATGTTCATATAGAAGTTTTCCAAAGGTGACATAAAACCAAAGACACCCACTCACCTTTTATGTATAAAATTGACAATGAGATTCGTGTTTCAAAGGTACTTTTTAGTAGCATTAGTGGTAGTACTTCCAGTAGCAACAGTAGTAGTAGCACTGGTAGAAGCACTGGTAGCACCAGTAGTAGATCTAAAAAGCACTGTACATGAATGACAGTTTACAGTTTCAACAATATTTAATGGTAGCAACAAACCACCAAGTTAACACTTGAGAGTTCAGCACAAGTCACATGTTAACACCTGCGAGTTCACTCACTAAGTAGGTAAACTTCGTCAGCTCTGCCTCACCTTCCGTTTTCTAGGCAGGTCAACAAGTGACTGCACCGTGACTACTGTACCAGCTGCTACCACTGAGGGAGGGAGGAGCGTTGAGCGTGTACATGTACTCACCTATTTGTGGTTTGCAGGGGTCGATTCACAGCTCGTGGCCCTGCCTCTTTGTTGGTCACTACTAGGTCGATTCTCTTCCTGCTCCAAGAGATTTATCATACCGCTTCTTAAAGCAATGTATGGATCATGTCTCCATTACATCATCTCCGGATTGTTCCACTTCCTAACAACTCTGTGTCCGAAGAAATACTTCCAAATATCCCTGTGACCCCTCGTTGCTGTCCTATCTCTGAAACATTGTCCTATCCACCTTGTCATTTCCTTTCAGTATTTTCTATGTAGTTACGTCTTCCCTGTCCCCCAGTGTCGTCAGGCTGATTTCCCTTAACCTCTCCTCGTAGGACATCCTCTATAGCTCCGGGACTAGTCTTGTTGTAAGCCTTTGCACATTCTCTAATTTCTTGACGTGCTTGAGCTGGTGTAGATTCCATAATGGTGCTGCATACTGGCGTCTAGGGTTAAAAACCTTGTCAAGGGGCACTTAAAATATTAAACAAAATACACTACCTTAGAACCAAAAGGATAAATTCACCGAAAGTGCTAAATAGACGGGCAATACTTTTCAGGAAGGACAGATAAACAAACATACGCAAAAATATAATACTATATTAAGACTATATGCAACACACATTACAAAAGTAACAATACCAAACACCAGTATACTGCTATTAATTTAATATTAGGCCATATTTTGTTGTCTAATGACCCGTATGGGTCATTAGACAACAAAATATTAATGGCGCCTGTTGATCGCCATTCCTTGCCGGCTTTCAGCCTGCCGGTAAAAATGCAACCATTTCTGTACCACCAGTGACCACACTGCCCTACGTAATAACCAGGCCTTGCCCAATGCTACGACCAAACTAAGATTACAAAAGAAAATATTTCCTCAAATAATTTATGGCCTAAACTTACCCAAAATACCATCACACCTTGTCCCAACAACTTCCCAGGTGCTGCCAGACTAGTGATGCTAAATAGCTCACCCAGTATTCACGTCTAATACGTGTCCCACTGGCTGTCCACCTGCCGTTCAATTCTCGTCCACTTAAGCACTGACACTATTTTTATGAACCCTCACTACTCTACAAACACTCTACATTACAAATTTAGTATATTCTTACTGAAATGTAGGTAAGCCAAGATCCTTCTCTTTGAGCAAGACTTTTCGGTCTTTGACCCCCTAGCCTGTACTCCGTCTGCGGTCTTCTTTTGACCTTCCCCAATCTTCATGACTTTGCACTTGGTGAGGTTAAATTCCAGGAGCCAGTTCTTGGACCAGGTTTGCAACCTGTTCAGATACCCCTTGTAGTCCTGCCTGATCCTCGTTCGCTTGAATTCTCTGCATTAACGCTACATCGTTTGCAAACAGGGACACCTCTGAATCTATTCCTTCGTGTGCATGCTGGAGTGTTTGTGGGGCGCAGTGTACATGTGTACACGCTGGAGTGTGTGGGAGGGCAGTGTGCATACATGGGAGGGCAGTGTGTGTAAGATGCAGTGTGTGTTTCTAGGCGCTGCATGTGTGCACGCTAGAGAGAGAGAGAGAGAGAGAGAGAGAGAGAGAGAGAGAGAGAGAGAGAGAGAGAGAGAGAGAGAGAGAGAGAGAGAGAGAGATTTTTTTATATAATTTACATAAAACTTGTATATGAATACGACATACATAGGACAACCAACAAACATAAGATTATACAACACAAATACACCAATTAAAAACTAACTACATCCATCAATATATAGCTGAATTAAACCCAGAAAAATAAGTATAACTGGAAGGTGTTCCGGGGATCAGCGCCCCCACAGCCCGGTCCATGACCAGGCCTCGTGGTGGATGAGGGCTTGACCAACCATGCTGTTACTGCTGGTCGCACCCATTCCAACGTACGAACCACAGCCTGGTTGGTCAGGTACTCACTTTGGACGCCTGTCCAGCTCCCGCTTGAAGACAGTCAGGGGTCTATTGGTAATCTCCCTCATGTATGCTGGGAGGCAGTTGAACAGTCTTGGGTTCTTGACACTTATTGTTTTGTCTCTTAGTGTACTCATGGCACCCACTCCTGCTTTTTATTGTTCAATATCTCCAATGCATATGCAACATGCAATGGAAACCTTCTTTGTTTGAGAGGCAGATGAACATACAGCTCATCTTTCTCAATTAGCTAGTGAGTGGAAGTGTGTAGCGTAGTGTGGCAGCAGTCACACTCACCCTACAACACACTGTTTCTTAGTTTAATATCTTAATTTTGCAGCCCATACCCATGGTGTGGGTGGTAGTCAGAATATTACAGTGGTACATAATGGGTCCAGAGACTGGGTCGTAAGACTTTGATAGCTAAACAAGTTACAATGGTAATTAACTATTTATTTCAACACACTCAACATGAACAGATTCATAATGGCACTAAAAGCAATTCGAACACCATAATCTCGGTGGTGGCATGATCAGGCCCTGATCCACCGCGAGGTCTGGTCATGGACCGGGACGCGGGGGCGCTGACCTCTGGAACACCCTCCAGGTGCACTCCAGGTAACATCTGTACGCTCTCCAGTCTGTTAAAAAAATGAATTATGTACACTAAGCTTATAGAAAACTTACTTTCTTAAAAGCTGATCAGCCTTACTTAGAGAAAAGTTTGAATTGATTCTGGTCTGTTTAGGTTCCATTTTTTTTTTTTTTGGATTAGATTGGAAAAATATACTGTTTTTCATTTGATAATTTCTGAGTGTCGCGTTTGATCACTTCACCCGGTACATGCTGATCACTTGATAGTGCAACATCTGAGCGCTTCAAACTTAACGTGCTTGTGTTATTTTAGGATATTGGTCTCTTTGTCCCACTGAAAGATTCGAATCTGCGATTACTTCCCTACGATAACTTGTGGTGTATCTTCCTGATTCCCTTCCAGTCTTTCAAAATTAATATTAAACGTGCCCAGCATCTCCACTCGAACCAAATTGAACTGAGTCCTTCGCTTGTGATAGGAAGGTGCTATCCCTGCCTAAACAATTTGTGTTCATCAGTTTAGAGGCGGTGGAAGCTTGCCTTAGTTTGTTGATAATTGTTGCAACATATTTCAAGTCCTCCTAATAACTAAGTCACGTTTTCAGTAAGTTTGCAGCCCATTTCTAAGTTAGGATGGGTTAGGTTAGATTAGATTAGGCCAGGTTAACTTAAATTATTTAAGTTAGGTTATATTAGACTAGTTAAATTAGGTCAGATTAGACTAGGTCAGGTTAGGTTAGGTTACATAAGGCTAGGTTAAATTAAATCAGATTAACTAGGTCAGGTTAGTTAGGTTACATAAGGCTAGGTTAAATTAGGTCAGATTAGGCTAGGTATTATAGGTTTGGTTAAATTAGTTAGGTTAGGCGTAGGTTTACTAAGTGTGAGTTTTTAGTTGGGTTGCTGGGTTTGGTAACCCCCCCGCGGCCCGGTCTGTGCCCAGCCCCTGGGGATCAGCCCCCCCCTGATCAACCAGGCTGTTGCTGCTGGCTGAAACGCAAACCAACGTACGAGCCACAGCCGGCTGATCAGGAACTGCCTTTAGGTGCTTGTCCAGTGCCAGCTTGAAGACTGCCAGGTCTGTTGGTAATCCCCCTTATGTGTGCTGGAGGCAGTTGAACAGTCTCGTCCCCTGACACTTATTGTATGGTCTCTTAACGTGCTAGTGACACCCCTGCTTTTCATTGGGGGTATGGTGCATCGTCTGCCAAGTCTTTTGCTTTCGTAGTGAGTGATTTTCGTGTGCAAGTTCGGTACTAGTCCCTCTAGGATTTTCCAGGTGTATATAATCATGTATCTCTCCCTCCTGCGTTCCAGGGAATACAGGTTTAGAAACCTCAAGCGCTCCCAGTAATTGAGGTGTTTTATCTCCGTTATGCGCGCCGTGAAAGTTCTCTGTACATTTTCTAGGTCGGCAATTTCACCTGCCTTGAAAGGTGCTGTTAGAGTGCAGCAATATTCCAGCCTAGATAGAACAAGTGACCTGAAGAGTGTCATCATGGGCTTGGCCTCCCTAGTTTTGAAGGTTCTCATTATCCATCCTGTCATTTTTCTAGCAGATGCGATGATACAATGTTATGGTCCTTGAAGGTGAGATCCTCCGACATAATCACTCCCAGGTCTTTGACGTTGGTGTTTCGCTCTATTTTGTGGCCAGAATTTGTTTTGTACTCTGATGAAGATTTAATTTCCTCATGTTTACCATATCTGAGTAATTGAAATTTCTCATCGTTGAACTTCATATTGTTTTCTGCAGCCCACTGAAAGATTTGGTTGATGTCCGCCTGGAGCCTTGCAGTGTCTGCAATGGAAGACACTGTCATGCAGATTCGGGTGTCATCTGCAAAGGAAGACACGGTGCTGTGGCTGACATCCTTGTCTATGTCGGATATGAGGATGAGGAACAAGATGGGAGCTAGTACTGTGCCTTGTGGAACAGAGCTTTTCACCGTAGCTGCCTCGGACTTTACTCTGTTGACGACTACTCTCTGTGTTCTGTTAGTGAGGAAATTATAGATCCATCGACCAACTTTTCCTGTTATTCCTTTAGCGCGCATTTTGTGCGCTATTACGCCATGGTCACACTTGTCGAAGGCTTTTGCAAAGTCTGTATATATTACATCTGCATTCTTTTTGTCTTCTAGTGCATTTAGGACCTTGTCGTAGTGATCCAGTAGTTGAGACAGACAGGAGCGACCTGTTCTAAACCCATGTTGCCCTGGGTTGTGTAACTGATGGGTTTCTAGATGGGTGGTGATCTTGCTTCTTAGGACCCTTTCGAAGATTTTTATGATATGGGATGTTAGTGCTATTGGTCTGTAGTTCTTTGCTGTTGCTTTACTGCCCCCTTTGTGGAGTGGGGCTATGTCTGTTGTTTTTAGTAACTGAGGGACGACCCCCGTGTCCATGCTCCCTCTCCATGGGATGGAAAAGGCTCGTGATAGGGGCTTCTTGCAGTTCTTGATGAACACAGAGTTCCATGAGTCTGGCCCTGGGGCAGAGTGCATGGGCATGTCATTTATCGCCTGTTCGAAGTCATTTGGCGTCAGGATAACATCGGATAGGCTTGTGTTAATCAAATTTTGTGGCTATCTCATAAAAAATTCATTTTGATCTTCGACTCTCAGTCTGGTTAGCGGCTTGCTAAAAACTGAGTCATATTGGGACTTGAGTAGCTCACTCATTTCCTTGCTGTCATCTGTGTAGGACCCATCTTGTTTAAGTAGGGGCCCAATACTGGACGTTGTTCTCGGCTTTGATTTGGCATAGGAGAAGAAATACTTTGGGTTTCTTTCGATTTCATTTATGGCTTTTAGTTCTTCCCGCGATTCCTGACTCCTAAAGGATTCTTTTAGCTTAAGTTCGATGCTTGCTATTTCTCTGACCAGTGTCTCCCTGCGCATTTCTGATATATTGACCTCTTTTAGCCGCTCTGTTATTCTTTTCCGTCGCCTGTAAAGGGAGCGCCTGTCTCTTTCTATTTTACATCTACTCCTCCTTTTTCTTAGAGGAATAAGCCTTGTGCATACATCGAGTGCCACCGAGTTAATCTGTTCTAGGCATAAGTTTGGGTCTGTGTTGCTTAGTATATCTTCCCAGCTTATATCGGTTAGGACTTGGTTTACTTGGTCCCACTTTATGTTTTTGTTATTGAAGTTGAATTTGGTGAATGCTCCCTCGTGACTAGTCTCATTTTGTCGGTCTGAGGCTCCACGCATACATGTCTGAACCTCAATTATGTTGTGATCTGAGTATATTGTTTTTGATATGGTGACATTTCTTATCAGATCATCATTGTTAGTGAAGATGAGGTCTAGTGTATTCTCCAGTCTAGTAGGCTCTATTATTTGCTGGTTTAAATTGAATTTTGTGCAGAGATTTAAAAGCTCGTGTGAGTGTGAGTTTTCATCAGAGCTGCCTCCTGGTGTTATTACTGCAACAATATTATTTGCTATATTCCTCCATTTTAGGTGCCTTAAGTTGAAATCCCCCAGGAGCAAGATGTTGGGTGCAGTGCAGTCCAGGTGCACTCCAGGTAACATCTGTACGCTCTCCAGTCTGTTAAAAAAAATTAATTATGTACACTAAGCTTACAGAAAACTTACTTTCTTAAAAGCTGATCAGCCTTACTTAGAGAAAAGTTTGAATTGATTCTGGTCTGTTTAGGTTCCATTTTTTTTTTTTTTGGATTAGATTGGAAAAATATACTGTTTTTCATTTGATAATTTCTGAGTGTCGCGTTTGATCAGCTTCACCCGGTACATGCTGATCACTTGATAGTGCAACATCTGAGCGGCTTCAAACTTAACGTGCTTATGTATTTTAGGATATTGGTCTCTTTGTCCCACTGAAAGATTCGAAATCTGGCGATTACTTTCCATACGATAACTTGTGAGTGTATCTTCTGATTCCCTTCCAGTCTTCAAAATTAATATTAAACGTGCCCAGCATCTCCACTCGAACCAGAATTGAACCTGAGTCCTTCGCTTGTGATAGGAAGGTGCTATCCCTGCCTAAACAATTTTGTGTTCATCAGTTTAGAGGCGGTGGAAGCTTGCCTTAGTTGTTGATAATTGTTGCAACATATTTCAGTCCGTCTTCCTAATAATTAAGTCACGTTTTCAAGTAGAGTTTGCAGCCCATTTCTAAGTTAGGATGGGTTAGGTTAGATTAGATTAGGCCAGGTTAACTTAGGTTAGTTTAAGTTAGGTTATATTAGACTAGGTTAAATTAGGTCAGATTAGACTAGGTCAGGTTAGGTTAGGTTACATAAGGCTAGGTTAAATTAGGTCAGATTAGACTAGGTCAGGTTAGGTTAGGTTACATAAGGCTAGGTTAAATTAGGTCAGATTAGGCTAGGTTAATTTAGGTTTGGTTAAATTAGGTTAGGTTAGGCTAGGTTAGGCTAGGTAAGGTTAGGTTAGGTTTGGTTAAGTTGGGTTGGGTTGGGTTGGGTTGGGCTGGGTTAGGTGGTAGATATAGGTAGGTTGGGTTAGATTATGTTAGGTTAGGTTAGGTTACAACGGAAAAAAACTATATAAAGTAAAAGAAAGGTATAAACTACCGACAATATGAAAGTTTAGACACTGCAACATCTGGATATCTCTATTGTAGACGTTTCGCCATCCAGTGGCTTTATCAATACAGATTCTAGGACAATAACAGGAGAACTATATATATATAGTTCTATATATATATAGTTCTACTGTCTTCAAGCTATGTCCTAGAATCTGTATTGATAAAGTCACTGGATGGCGAAACGTCTACAATAAAGATATCCAGATGTTGCACATGTGTCTAAACTTTCATATATAAAGTAAAAGGTGATTAAAAAGTCTGCAGCACGACAGAAAACTGGCAGCCACTGCGCCGCGCGACTCATAAAACAGTCATATATCTACTGTTCAAGGTTCTGTTAACAGTCACCCGTTAGACTGTTTATAAAACAGTGCTATGACGTCTGTGGATGAGAGGACGATCTGGATATAGCGTGTTGTTTATCATGCGATTTAAAACATGTTATCCAGAAAACGTTACATCGATGGTGGACGAAACGTCGTCTCAATAAAATGGCATTAACCGAGAAACGCAAATTTTTTGACTTTCTTATTGGTGCAAAATCTTATTGGTGCTCAATAAAATCCCAAGTGGGCTATTATTGAGCACTGACAAGTGTTCATTACACTTTCTCTATAATTAGTACACACTGGACCTAACAATAACAAAGTACGGAGTTCTTTGTGCCCCGCTGCAGGTTTCCCGGGTATAACAACCGAATTTGGACTTCCTTTTTGCCGCCCCGGACAAAAAAAAAAAAAAAGTGAGCAACAGTGTTCTCTTGTTCGTATTCTTGCACGCTGACCTCGCTTCGCTTCGCTACTCGTATTAAACACTTTAGCGTTCCGCCTGTCCTTTCATTCTCCTTGTAAATTAAATATTAATAACGTGATTAAGACTGGTGTAAATGAAATTTTAAGTATTTTTAATATTAAAATGTGGGTGATGTTAGGTTGAGACGTTTGTTGTATCGTCTGCATGTTGCGACCCACACGAAGGGATTTGCGGGTTATTATTGATTTTCCTAAAATGGCCGAGTTTTCTGGCCAGTTATGGGTTTAATTAAATATAATTAATAATTTTCATGCATGAGAACGGCTGTTATTACTATAAAAGTTAATTATTTACAAAAGCAAGCTGTTTGTTTTCAAGGAAGATAGCGCTTGCGCCTCCCATGGCGGCCTGAAGCAGCCACCGTACATCCTCACTCTTCTAAATAATGCTTCCACACACTACTAAATTTGATTTATGAATAAAAAAATAATAGATCTTTAAATTGGTTTAAATACAAATATTATATTCTTGTTTATAATTTAAAATAATGCTCCAATTCATAACGGGAAAACTAAATAATGGAGTTACTTTCATGAGGGTACGTTGAAATATTGGAACTTTATTTGGGGTCTACCATTTTGTTGTGGAACAAACACACTCGACGTTAAGACCCTAGATTAAAATGGTTGGAGGGTTTAGGCAGGGGTTAGACACATGAAGCCAAAACAGGAAGACCCAAAGGAAATGGTGGGGGGCTGCTGTGTTTGTTCTGACGAGAATGGCTGGACGGAGAACCCTCTGGTTTACTGCGATGGTCAGGGATGTACCGTCGCCGTCCATCAAGGTACTCCACACACACGTTTTTTTTTATGTACTGCTCGGTGTTACAGTCATACCTTGGCACGCCCTCACGCCACTTAGTGTCAGGGGAGAGGCAGTAGGTGGTTGTGAGTGGCGAGGAAGTGTGTCTGAAGTATTAAAGTGGCCTTGTGAGGTTGCTTCCCCAGGGGCAACACCAGACAGTCTTCACTCTCAGTATTAACTTTAATTTGTGGTGCAAGTATGTTCCGTCAAGGCTGTCAGGAGACACTGGCCGTGGTGCTCCACTCTGTCCAACATCACAGCTGGATTTCCACATGGCAGTGTTGAGGCAACTTAACACAGACACTAGTGGCTGGAAGCTGTCATCTTGCTGACAGCAACACATGATGCTGACCATGCTGACAACCACTCCCCCCCGACACATTCACACTTGAAAATCATGTCAGAAAGTTCTTCATGTTTTACAATGTTAATTTTTAGGTTATTTTCAAATTAGGCCAAGTTGGCAGGTAGGTCTGCCAACTGAGAGCTTACCAAAATATCTGTCAGTGTTAGCCCTACCTTTGTCTGTCAGCACTGATGACCTCAGATGGATAAGGGGCCAGAGTGCTACCCTGATCTACAGGCTGTTGTGGTCCGCAGGCTGCCTTTGGTCTACAGGCTGCTGACGTGTTGTTTGAAGGCACATTCGGGAAAATATAGCAAACTTAACCTAACCTAAGAAACAAGTAAATATATAGAATCTGCAGAACAAGTTGAAACTGTTGGAAGTGTCTTGACATACATTGGATATGTACTTTTGAAATTTATGGACTCCGATATCCTCCCCCCCCTACACAGCAGCTTGTGGACTGAGGGTGGCCTGTCCATGGTGGCCTGCGGACAAAAGTAGCACTGTCCTCTTGCTGGGACTGGACATGTTGGGAGTTCAGTAGTACCCAGGACTGGTGATGTCCGTCCTGGCCCGTACTTACACACCAGTACTGGTACGGGTACGGGTACGTAAGTCCTTACATAACATTTTTTTATTGGAATTTTCAAGCTGAAATTTCTCACACGAGTTTCTTGCCATCTGTTATTTCATTGTAAAAAGCAAAACAAAAACAAGCAAAAAACTAGTTTTGTAAAGTGGTGTACTATACAGTAAACAATTATGGTAATTTACATGTATTAATTACTTCATAGAAACCCCTTTATTGTGCAAAACATTTTGGGGTTTGGTGAGGAAACAGTTTTCTCGAATGTGATATTTGTTAAATTGGAATTTTTCCATTATGAAAATGCAACTAGGCATTTGTCTTAACAACAGCAGGGTATTTACCTGGGTGCAGTGATAATTGACTGTAAAATTAACAGTTGTAACAGCAGTATTAATTAAAACATTGAAGAAATTCAGTAAATGCAAACATAGCAATGTATGGTATTATGTATTTCCAAAAAAAAGGCTTCTGTAGAGGGTGAGATTATTTCCACTGTTCATAGTTTGTACACTCTGCTATTATTAATATAGTGTTCTGGGTGTAATATTGCACTAATTAATACTTCTGCACCAGTACTAGTGCATAAATGGCTCTAGACCATTGATACAGATTTTCAACTTGATGCGCTTATCACTGAACAATTGCAAGTTACCATAGCAATAACATACATTTAATACATTAATAATTGGTTTTGCAACTAATTTTATTTGTATTCTCAATGATAATTTCCATACAGTGTTTATAAAACTGATATTCGTTTTCTTACTATACCTAACAGCATCACTGATAGTGTACACTGGCTGTGTACACTACCAGTGCAATTTCACTAATTTTTGTTTTTAAAGCATCATGGATACTTAATGGCTCACATAACTAGAAGCAACAGATGAAATACGTTTCTCCCCACTAGAAATGCAAATAAAATATTTCTGTAATTAAGAACTTGCGTGAAATTTAAGCAAAAACATACTTGAAATAAAGCGAGTGTATTTTATTGTAAATTTTTGCGAATTGATTTTTGCTGGTGAATAAATAGTATTATTGAACAACTATTTCATGGAAATATGCTTTAATTAGTTTAAATTTGCTTTCCAAGATGTTCAGTGCAAGTTGAGATCTGTGGAAGTAATGGATGTGCTGTGGACATTATAGTTAGACAATTATTTTTCAAAATTATTAAAATACTGTAACCAAAACATTATGGTAATTTTAGTATTGATAATTGTAAAACCATCATTGTATTTTGAGTTGAAATTTCTTGCACAAGTTCTTAACCATACATATTTTTATTACCCAGTGTCCACAGCCTTATGACAGTTATCCTTCAGCCCATCCCACTACACACGCACAGTTGGGAAGAAACAAGCCTGAGTTAAAATACGTAACCTATCCAGACCAAATTTTCCATGCCTAATTATAGTAGTTTTTCAAAAATAAATATACAAATTCATTGTGTGTGACATTATCCCATAGTGTTTGGGATAACATTTCATTAAATTGCATAAACAGGTGGAATCTCAGACATTATGGGGAGATTTACTACAAGATACCTGGTCTTTTTGAGGCTTGTCAAGGATGGACAAGGCACCTTTTTTTTTTTTAAAGTAGTGATAAAAGTTATCCCATGTAGAGGCTTTAGCAAATTAGTAGAGAATATATGATGAAGGAATACGTATATATACAAGTAGTTATACATAAAGGAACGTGAGGAGGCAGGAGAATATAATGGGGCACAGGAGCTCTAGAGAGTAGTATATATATATTTGTGTTGGCTCCCAAGTGCCTAGATAACTTGAAAGCATGGTGGAAGCTAATGATTTTGCTAATGTGGTTCTGGTGATAATATTAGAACTCTTGTTAAGGCTGAATTTCAAGCATCTTGTGTGTGTCTTTTTGGATGACTAGTTTAGAATTTCAATATTATAAGGCGAGTACCATTATCTTAGTGTGTGGTATTACACATGCGATGTTAGTATTTTGCATTTTGCTTTCATGTTGGGATTCTTTGATCCATGTGACAATCATCTTACGAAATGGACAGATTCTAAACTAGTTAATAGAGACGGAAACAGATAGAAGATGCCTGGAATACACCCATGTCAGCACTTAACACCATTGCCCACAATCAGGGTAGCTTTATGTTTAGTAAATATTTGAGCTTGCAAAACACTTACAGGTTGTCCAGGCATCTGGGAGTCAACATAGCAGTCTGGTATACACACTACAGTTATCGCACACCCCTTTCTTAATCTGTTCATGTATATACAATATACGGTATGTACTCCTCTTTCTCATGCATTCTCTACTGACTTGATAAAGCCCCCCTAAATGGGAGAAAAGCTGTCATCATTAAAAGTATCCGTTGCATCCAAATGTCATTTATTGCATCCACTGTCATTTCCTTGACCTTGTTATTATTTACATGCCATTCCAGTCCCAGTTATATGAATAATTGATATTACTCTGTTGCTCCATATAACACTAAATGCAGTATTTGTTTACATGGTATTGCTTGATTCCAGCAAAATGCCTTAATGTTCATTCAAAGTACATAAAAAATGGGATATTTCTGAGTTTTATAATCAGGAAAGTAATATGTATTTTAAAGTGAAAATTGACATAATATTGCATTTTGCTGTAAAATCATCATATCATCATCAAATCATCATATCATGTCATATATATATCATCATATATCATCATAACATATATCATATGTCATCATATCATATCATATATATATATATCATCATCAATCGTCAGTCATCGTCAGTCATCGTCAGTCATCGTCATCATCATCGTCATCATCGTCATCATCATCCATCCATCTTGGGGAAGCACTAGACTCAGAAGTCATGTACTGCCTTGGGCATAAGAGGCAACCAGGTTTGGTCCAAGGAAGGGAAAGGTAACTGTAATTCCTCTGTATTAAGGATGTCGGCATCAAAGCACCTCCTTTTGAATTGCTTGCAGTTACTGAGGTGGTGGTGGTGAGTGCACTTGCCACTGTCAGTGTTTGTTGAGAGTACAGGTGGCTTTCCACATTCGTGAGGGTTAGGGGATCAAGAACCATGCGAATGTTTAAAATTCGTGAATGTTTGGTTCACTAATATATTGTAGGGAAATATAATAATAGCATTTACTTGGCCTAACAATACTGCTCCCTTAACCTATTGAACCACGAACAATTATAAAACACATGAAAACATCGTAAAATACAGATTGCATAGGGAGAACCATCTCTTAAACTTATCAAACCAGCCTTTACTTGCTAGGAAGTCAGGATGAGTGATGGTAGGGCGTCCTAGTTCTGCACTGGTGCTAGCCCCATTGCTAGCCAACGTATCATACAAAATCTTTCCCTGTGCACGAATCGCATTGATTTCCTTTTCTATTTTGGTCTGAAATCCACACAAATAATGCTGATTCCATATTAGACACTGCACTGTTTCTTGTGACACTTGCTTGGCTGAAGGAGGAGCAGTAGATGCCAGTGCTGCCCTTATCTTCGTCTCATTTTTCTTGATAGAGCGCACTGCTCAAATAACCTGCCCTACACTTGTCTAGCTCCTCAATAACGGTTGCTCCTCGCTTGGGGGCCATATTTGCACCACCACGCTCATGTGTATGGTAGGACACACAAACAGCACAGATCAACGCGAAGAGTAACTGGACAGTGACTGAGTGAGTGGTGGACTGGCGGGCTGGCTGCCGTTTAAGGGGTTAAGAAGGAGGGTAGTAGGGATGTGGCGGGAAGCATAAATATGGTTGGGCAGCTGGGCATTCGTGAATGTTTGAAGCTCATGAAAGTAGAACTCGCCAATGTGGAGGACCACCTGTAAGTTTAAAAGTTGAGTGAGGCATTAGTTTGCTCAGTTTCTTCATGCTATCCTTTGACCTGTTTTATGCTTGCATAGTATGGGAAGGCTGTTGCATGAAAGAGATGGAAAAGTATTGTAGGAATTACTTATTTTTTTTATTTTTTTATTTTAACTTTTTTTGGGGCTATGCCGTAGTACTATGTGATAGCTCAGCTCACTTA